GTATATTGAGCAGCTTATAGCTTATTTTATTTTATTTCCTACCTATCTATACGATACCGTAAACTGGCATTCACCGTGTTCCAATTTACTCAATATATCGGAGGCCCACGAATTTCAAAGTGCAAACATTAATGTGTTTATTTAGCACTAAATGTTAACATTTTCATGGAGTTATTATGTGAGACTTGGCACACTTCGTTAATGGGGCAACTGTTCGTCAAGGCTTGCTCGTTCAAGTCATTTTGATTTTAGGTCAATCGTTATTAAAGTCACCGACACTATTCTTTTTGTTTGATATTTACATTGGAGTACGCGTGGAGTAACACATGTAGGAGAATAGATGACTCAAAAGATAAACATGATAAAAATGTACTAATGTATACGTTATTTACATTACAGCCATTGACACAATTTGGTAAAGACATGTTTCAACGATTATCTTCATATTTGTACAGCATTTAGAATATTTACATTTAGTTGTACTGGTTGTGTGTCATCATATTCTTCTGCAATATTTGCCTAAGCTTTTTCTTTTCGTCATGTACAATTCCTAGTTCGGGGACAGAGCATACCAATGATGCAAAAGTTGCATCAGTTTAGAAAATTGTTTCCTTCTTACCTAATATCATATTTGCATTCAGGTTTCAGATCTATGTCATAGTTTTGTGATGAAGTATAGCACATGTGCTTTTGAATTATGCATTGTCTTAAAGTTTTTGTAATGTGAACCAGAGGACCAATGAATTGGCCTAAAATATTATTGTTGCACAACTTAATTATTTGCTCTATTTATCTCTACGCTTTGAATTTCAAACGCCAACTGTGCTGGAAAATTGACACTAAAAACGGTCCAATTTGTGCGTTTGAATATGCATCAGTCAGTATTTTCGTGTAAATATATTAATCTTTATTTCATGGCTCCCAATTCTTTCTTTTTTTTTTCGGGAGGCTCAAACACCTTCCTTAACAATCCAATTACGGGTAACAATCGCTTCGAAAAGGGACCATCATCACAAGTTGATTACCCTTCCTGATAAACCATTAATCATTCCATTTAAAAAGCAATTTTCTAACGGGTGCATTCAGCAGAACAGTTACAAATCAGAGCTGAATTGAATTAATTGAATTATGAAAAAAGGAAGATATTTTATTTGATCTTTTGTCCGTCTGCACCTCAGTGATAAAGAGGTCGCGGTTCGACGCGTAGGGGACGACGGTTTAACAACCTTCCAAAGGGGGAAACGGAATAAATGGCTTTTCGGCTGACAAAAAAGGTGGGATTGTGATTGCCTCGCCTTTCTTACTTCAAAGTATTCTTCCTTTCATCAAATAATTTGCCTATCGTGTTTGCGCATTGGTATATCGTGTTCGGTGAAATTCAAACCACGACCATTTTCAATTCATTTTAGATCGGATATTGATAGATGGGAAGAGATACATCATCCGGCGCGCAGTCAAAGCAAGTGTTTTGTGCAAATAGAATAGTGTCAAGCGTGGAGTGTGACCACGGGCGTAGCGTGGGACCAGGCCATGGGGGGGGGGGGGGGGGGGGGGGGGGTATTCGAACGATATGGGCAACCGTCTCATACCTCAGTCACACCAGTGGGACCAATACCAGATCGACAACAGACCGAACATGACATTACATTAACTACAAGGGCCAAGAACTAGTCGGTTTGGAGTCGGTGTGAATTGGTTTGGCGATGTGACTGAGGTTTTACTTGAAAAATGACATGCGAATTTGCAAGGACTCTGATGGGGGGAGGGTACGGGAGGTGCTCCGGTCATCTTCTTTACCCTTTCTCCGTTTTCTTTTCTCTTTTTTATTTCATGTTATAGTGTTCACCGCCCAAGGGGGACACGTGCCCCCCCCCCCCCGCTCGTAATCCCAGTGGCTACGCCATTTGTTTGACTGTGAAAGCGGCTACAAATTGTTAATTCAGTCTCAATACAATGAGCTCCAAACTGGAGTCAAATTGGCATTGTAGTGACTTTTGTGAAGACATGACAAAGACCGCTATCTCTGCCACTGGACCGTGAAAACTTTTGTAACTATTACCCTGGCGTTATTGATTGTGTAGGGCATGTACATAATGCAAGGGCTCAAATTTTGTTGAAAATTGAAAAGAATTTCTCAAATTCTCTTCTAATCATGATGGAAATATCAAATGAAAATCACGAATATACGAGCATAGAACATACATACAGCTGGCCTAAAGTTTGATGAACAATGTCACAATATTTCTATCTACACTAATGCCCACAATGTTGGCATAATTTTTCTTTATCTCGATCTTTCTGTGAAACTATTGTGCCAAAATGGTTTTTCTTCTTTATACATACAGTTTATATCTGCTAAAGCCTTTATTGATCAATCTCTTTTACTTTTCAGAATGATCGATAAATTTATGAGAAGAAATACACTTTATCTATCAAGGATAAATCATATCGTCACAATGATTTCATGAAAAGAAGGAAAAAACAACTATTCCAACCAAAAGCAAAGTATATCTCCTACGCTCTTTGCAAACTTTTTTTTCCGTTAAGATATTTGTATTGCAGCATTTAATGAAGAGAGATTTTTGGAGGAATGAAGAAGGGTACAGACGTGCACCACTTTTTTCTTTCCCTCTCATTGACTGACCAAAATTGCATACACCTGTTTATACCTATTGCATAAAATCTTAATGATATTCTCTGTTCATATAAAATAGATAATAAATCTGAATATCATTGTATAGCACAATCATTATAACTTGCTTAATTGTAAGAAGATGACCTGGATTCATCCCGGTACTACATAGAAATACACTTATTGCCAAATTGCTTGCAATCGATCCGCAACCTTAAAAACAGACTTTTTAAATTTTGTTTAAAAGCCTTTATAATGAGACATGTATTTGAAGACAGAATTACATGTATCATCCTTCTTCAAAATGAAACCGGAAAGAACGTCCGTTGTCCAGTACCCTACCTTGACCGCTGAATATCTTTGCTAACCTTGACCTTTAACCCAGCATTCCACTGTGAGAGTATTAAAAAGATTTATTCTTAGCTTGAAAAGTCCATGACCTAAAATAACATTTTCTCTGTCTGTGATCGCGCGCTTCATCCGATATATTTGTACAACCAAATGGAAGATAGGGTCCTTTTTTGGATGGTCACCTTTTCTTTGCTTGCTCTTCAGACCAGTGGAGAATAAAGAGGGCTCTACCCCTCCCCCCCCCCCCCTTTGGAACCCCTTGACACATTTAAAAGTGCCTCATAAAAAACAATGACCCCAAAACAACATGAAAATATGATTATTTTACGGGGAGGTCTTGCTTGTTAGATTTGGATTGCGCCCCCTTCCCTTTCATAAATGGAAATCAATCAACTTCGGTAGCTTAATCTTTAATTATTACTGCAGTGCACATAATCGGTAGAGTGCTCAATAGTGCTCAAATCATATCAAACTTTGTCGTAATGACTTCGACTAAACAGACACGGTTATATAATCATTTTTGTATGGTGTTCTCGGTCACTCATGTTGCGTTAAACGATTCATGGTACGTTCATGACAAAAACATCGTCGGTTCATTATAGTAATACTCAAATCAAATATACATAATATATGTAATGTTCGTTGCATTTGTGTAGGATTGAATAAGTAACTTTATGAAGGCTTGTGCCACCCCCTCCAACCGTCCACCCTCCCCTCCACACCCCCTTCCCCCGCTCGTGTCTGCGATTAAATAGGTTTGCATGGCACTCTTCAACGGTCTTACTCACAGATCTTCTATTTCGTGATGAATGGGACGAGACAGGTATGAAATGCTTGGGAATTTCTCGTCAAGTCCAAGATACCAAGAATTCTTCGATGGCATACCAGATGACTGAATAACAAGAATAATTACGGACGACCAAAATATAATTCTGATATCTTCAAGGAGTTCAACCTTTTCCCCCTCCCCCACCCCCTTGCCTAATCGTGATACTGCGAGGAAGATAAAGAAAATACGAAAAAGAAATAGAAAGAATAAAAGAAAGAAAGAAGTATTCCTGAAAGTGGTAGAAGTGGTGGTGATGGTGTTCTGGTATTGTGTCAGAAGTGGTAGTGGAGATGTCAGAATAGTTTGTGGCGGCAGGGGCGTTGATAACGGGGGTAAGGGTGGGGGTATGCCTACTTTTTTGATTGGCAATTTTCGGCTAATATAATCGTTAAGATTTCTTAGATATTACCCCCCCCCCCCCTCCCTTCATCAATTCAACATTTTCTCGCGACCTCCCTGGGCCCTCATGGATATGTTTGGTAGTGGTGATGAGGGGTGGGGATGGTGGTGGTAGTGGTGATGAGGGGTGGGGGTGATGGTGGTAGTGGTGATGAGGGGTGGGGACGGTGGTGGTAGTGGTGGTGGTGGTGGTGGTGGTGTTTGTGGTGGCGATGGTGGTAGCGGTGATAGATAGTACAAGAAAAAAAAATTGTTTGTTGATAGTCGATAATGGTATCTGTTTACCTTTTTTACATTTTTAAAAATTCGCTTTTTTATTTTTCTTCTAAATTGACCTTTCCAACTTGTAACTTCCCATTGAAGCTATCTTGTGTCATGATTATGTCCCTTAAAAATTATGGTTATGATCAATGATTATGACGTCACGTCTTTCGGCGAGACAGGTGATCAAGGGTGACTTTCGGTTCTGGTCGGCTTCTCTTTCGGAATGTCACCCGGTGAATCCCGAAGATTGGTCGGCAAATCGAGTGGAGCTATATCATAATGTGGATGAGACTGCACTCTGCCAAAATATATATATGAAGACGAAAAAATAAACCCGCGCGTGTTGGGGCAAATTCCCATTGGCTGTTCACAGCAGGAGTCGCTCTAGAAAACCATTCGATATGGAAATGAGATAGTGAAGGGCGCCGTTGATTGGTGGGCTGGCAGGAGGGTTGGTTTAATGACTGCAGGCGTTTACAGTTCGGTCAGCTTTGAAAAGCGGTACGAGTGGGAGAGACAGAACCCGTTCTCGGTTTATGTTTGTTTTCGCGGACATTAAAACGAAGCGTTTGATCTCGCCGACAACGAGCAACGATCCTCATATCGCGCATAATCGACAGTTGCATTTATTCATCGCGGCATTTATCATAGTATTTCGAACGGCGCAGCGATTTTACGCTCTTTCTTGCTCCTACGTCTTCATATTCTTTCGGCTTTTATAGAAAGGTTCTCGCTTTCGCTGGAGCTCAGTTATTTACACCCTCTGATGTTGTGACACTCCCATTGAAGGCAATCCCCGCGTAACTTCACGGAATTTAAATACCAAGCTGTGTTTTGGAAGTAGACGCTCGATCGCGTTGAGTATCTGTGGCAGGCAGTGGCGTGAGCCTCTGAAGTTTGTTACTGTTTATTTTCGCATCGAAAGGTGATCGACATGAGAGTTTTATTCTCCAGGTTTTATTTGCTTCGTGTTATTGCGCAGGAGTTCTACTGAGCTGAGCCAGCTATGGTGGTGTGACTTTGCCAGCCTTGGAATCGCAGTTGAAAACATCTATTTTTTGCTCAAGATCTTTATTTCTTGTATGATTTAAATATTGACTGATTTTTTTTTGGAGAAAAAGATGGCATCATCTTTTTAAGACCTCACTATTGATCAAGTTGTAGCAGTTGTATAAAATTTGCCTGTTTTCATACAAAGTCAAAGCAAAGGCCCGGATTTTCACAATTTTATCACGGAGTGTGCGCTTAATTGCACCATTCGCATCGGAGGAATACACTCTTGAGTCCTGATCAGAGGAGCTTTGTCAACTTTCACAGAGAGGAATAGACTCAAAAATCCAAAATGGGATTACTGGATCAACAGATAATTTACAGGACACATGTATCCTTATTTCATATATTATGTTGCTTTCTGCAACTTTCCTCCACCCTTGTGAGCAACACGTACCGAACCGATGTGCTCACGAACCACGGGCACCACACCACGGCAGAGATGCAGCTCCACCGCTGGGCCGTGGCGGCGATGGATTACCCAAGGACATTGGACTGCACTGTAGTCCCGTTCATAAGAGAACGTGAGTGCCTCCAGCTAGTGCAGCGGCCTGAAACGGAAATGAACTTGTATGTCGCGCCGCCTCGCCCCGGTGGCTATCATGCTGTGCTGCCTGACGGCGGACTGAGTGGCAGTGGAACGCACGATGTGGTGCTCGCGATAGACCCTTACCCACGAGCAAGTTTTGGCCATCTCGTGATAATCTTCTTCCTCGATTTTGATTTAGATCTTGATTCGTGCCAAGACCGGGGCGGAAAATATCTTGGTGAGTGTTCAAAGATCTCTTGGGAAATTTATTTAAAACAGTTTTAAAGTTAATGAGATACTAGTGGAGCTGGAGCTGGAGCCCCCCTTCTCCTTCAGTGCAGTCCATTTTCAGTTACTTTATAATTTTCATATTTAATGATTGCACAATATGTCAATGCACATTCGCTTTGCCTTCGGGTGCTTTTAGGCAGATGTAATTACAAGTTACAAGACGAAGTTAGACCTTGCGTCTCTTTGATTAAAAATGTAACTCTTTAGATTTAAAATGCAGGTGCTTCTTAAATATGCTGGGTAGAGAATGAACTAAAAGTTCATGTATACTGAATCGGGAAGCAATAATAACAGTATTCAAAATATCAGTTTCAGCAACGAAACGAAAAACAGTTTGCTGCAAGAATTTGTCATGTGCCCCCCCCCCCCCCCTCTCTCTCTCTCTCTCTCTCTCTCGATTTATGTTACAGTTAGACTCACTTTGGGCATGCTGGGTAAGAAGTGTTCCATTTAGGTATTTTATGAACCATAATGGAACCGACCGTCTAGCCTTACCTGAATTTTCATTTAGATTATTTCTTTACTTTTATGTTTTTAAATATATATTTATGAATGAAAATCATCCAAGAAAACATCCTGTCGAAATAAAAATAAAAAGTCCGACATAATCAAGCAAAACAAAATGTTATCGCCTTCTCACAAAATCTCTAACGAGCCAAGCGAAAAAAAATTACAGGTTATTGCATTTGTTCATATGCCTCTCGGGTGTTAAATGGCCACGGGCCCTGTCCCCCCCCCCCCCCCCCCCCCCAGGTCGCCTCTCTCTCTCTCTCTCTCTTTCTCTCTTTCTCTTTCTCTTACATCTGCGCCTTTACCCATTACTTTGGAAACATGTTCACATTATCACAATATTTATCTACACTGAGCTTACTGGCAAGGACCGTATTTAGGCGAAGGGAAATGAAGGTCGACGACCTCTCTGCCATCGTCAAGGCAACATCCAGCTTTCCCCTTGTCTGGGAGCACTCTGGATGCGTTGTCATGGGCAACCGTTGAAGTTATCGGTGGAGGATGTGATAACTTGTAGACCTATCATTCTGCGATATGGACAATGTTCAAGCGGATTGTGTTAACCCATCGGCATGGTCATCCCGATAACAGTCATAGCACAATTATAAAAGTTTCACACGCGTACAGGGCATCGGGTATGCAATACATTTATGTGACATTGAAAACAATTGTAGGAGAGAGCGAGAAACGATGCCGTAGTTGTAAATGAATGTATCAATGTACTTTCCTGAAACAATTTTCATGTTGTCTTGTCTCATCTCGTGGATTTTTTTTTTTACGAGCCTCGTTTTGTGATAGCCCTCGTAGGCCTATTCCGGGTTCATAGTCAACGAAATGAAAATGGTGGACTAGGGAATATTGTTGACACTATTTTTTAAAAGTCCATTAAAATGGACATAAACATACAACGAAGAAGGGTAGTAACGGTACCTGTAAAAGGAATATGTACAAAGGCTGGCTACATGCGTAATTTTGATAATGTTAAAAAAAAAAAATGGACGTTTTGAGTTTTGGCCCCAAGTATCATCATCGACCCCAAGCACCTTCGGCCCCTCTCGCCTCCATCCAGGTATTCCTCTCCCAATCCCTTTCGTTTCTTTCAGCTGCTCAGATATTTTTAACACTGATATACATAAAGCCTTGTTGTAACATACACACAGTACATGATTGTAGGCCTTCATGTTCCCATGTATGCAGGCTCTTCTTATCAAGGGCTGACTGAACCTATAGGAGGGAAATCTGTGACAGCAAAGTGCATGGACCTTTTTTTCCCCCTTAGATATGGGCCACTCATGATTACAGTTCATTACCATTGTGCGGAAACTCTCATAGGCGACGTTCATGATAAGATTATTGTTGTGTATTTGGCATGAGCAGCAGTAGCCCCCCCCCCCCTTACCCCGGTCTCTCACTATCTCTCCCTCTCTCTCTCTCTCTCTCTTTGAATACAGAAGGTAGCTACGGGAACATATCGGCAAAGAAGGGGGTGGTCATGAAAATGTTCCAACGAAAAGAAATAAAGTGTTCATGCACCATTACTTTTTTTTATATACTAAAGTTGTTATACATACCGACCGACTCAATTCCTTTCATTTCATTTATTTGTTTAATCGCTGTAACTCGCTTTAGCCTAAGAAAACGGCTGTTTTTTCAGGGAGACGGTAAACTGAATAAAAATATACAAATTATCATACTATCAAAAGCCAGTGGCAAAAGATAACAAAACGAAAAACTTATGAAAAATTAACAAATCAAATCAAAACGAAAGGTTTAGCAGAAAAATAACCCTAAAATGAATAGAAAAATAAAGATATCAAACATGAATTATCATATGTACAGAAAAATACAAATAAACAATAGTAAATCAAAATTAAATGTATCGACCATCAGAAATGGTCCGAATCGGCAGATAGGGGGGGGGGCATGCCTCCCCCTCCTCCCGTCAGACGTCACGAACTGGCGATGCCAGTTGTGTTTTGATGATTGTTCTATTACTCGATGACACCCCGTATACATCATCACTTTCCTGGCACAACTGGTATTACCAGTGGTCCAGGACCAAAGGGAACCGCTTCCAGTACCAATGAGTACCGGGGACCCGAACCCACACCTTTCAAAACGGAGTCCTCTATACCAAACACCATGCCTTTCGTCTGATCCATCATGACCATGGTACGGTGACTCAGTCGTGACGGCGAGGCGATGAAATGACCTAACACTGTGGCAGTCATGGCAAAATAAATGTTCAAGGAAAGAAAGGGGCTTACCCCGTTCCCATTCCCACAGAAGTGCCCATAAATTATTTTACTGTCATTATGGTGAAGGTTATTCCTTTTACATCGCACACACACACAAAAAATCCTTTTTCTCGGGTCATGATTACATTGTCAACAAAATCGATGACATAGAAAACCTGGGTTGAATACATGCCTTGTGAAGTATCAATGAAAATGGTGCATTTAGAGAAAGAAGAAAACAAAAAATGTTTGATGCTTCAGTTGAAAATTAGTTCAAATATCTGCGGTTTTTTTTTCTCAAAACACACACATACATGTACATAATGTTCACTTTAAGTTTACATTTGTCAATGATCTTCATATACCGATGCATTTTTGCAAGAGGGCATGCCTCATTAAACATTTAGTTTTCAAAATATAAATTTAGATAAACTTTAAAAATCATGCTTTTCTTCCTGATTTCATCAACGCTTCACCAAGCGTTCTGTTATAGTAAAACTACAGGTTCATCAATATGAAGATATCACGTTTTGCCTTTTAGTTTCCAATTAACTTATCAAATTTCACCCATCCACTGTCGGTGATTGACGGTCCCTTCTGGGGCCTGCTCATCCACCCACTTTCAATTCTGTCGTCCCAAAACATGATATTCTTGTCGTTTTGATTATGTTCACGTTTCATTTTGGGACTCTGAGAGAGTATAAGGGATTACCTTTACCGAATATGGAATTTGCCGAAAATGTGCTTATTGCACATAGGGCGGATCCAGAATTCTTTGAAAGGTAAAGGGGGAGGGGGGGGGGGGGGCAAAGATACATTTCCAACTAGCGAACTTTTGTTAAGTGCCATTTTTGGTATAAAATGATAGGCACAAGAACGCAATCGAAGGCACACAATGACCGAGGGGTTACATAAGGGTGCCATCTCTGTACCCACCCCTCCCCCATGATTCCCCACCAATGTTATCATGTTTATGATTTTCATCTGAACATAGATTTTTTTTTTTCTACTTCAACGAGTATTGTGAAGTGTGACTCCTTCGATACTTCGACAACGATGTGTGTGCTAAGGCTTCGTATTATAGGAAGAAGCCATTTGGCATTTTGTTTTGATTTGTACGTGAAATGTATTCGATTCGATTACTACTGATGTATTTGTTTGGACTTTATCCTCCTTGTTTTATGCAGCTGATTCAAAAGTAGGTTGCATCGGACAAGTTGATGTGATTTCTTTTGTTGTTTTTACTCATTCTCGCTGCGGTTCATTTAGACCGATGAATGAGCGTAATTATTTAGATCTTGAAATGACGAGGACTCCTTTTTCATTCTCCTATTGCAGCCGTGAACCGCGATCCGACGGAGGCAACGTTTCGTGACACATAAAATAGACGGAGTGTCAGGGAGAGGAGAAATCGCTTTATGTACCCTACAATTACCCATATAAATCGGTCTTCTCTCGTGGGGATTCGAATGCCAAAGCAAGATGAAGCAGAGAAGCCGTCGTTTCACTCTGAACTTGTTGATATACGGTATTATTAGGAGAAGAAAAAAAAATCTTAGAAAACGAACGTCGTGCCGATATGCGATTGTGTTTACCAAGCGCTGCTATTTGAACTTTTTTTTCTTTTTCTGAGAGACTCGCTCTCTGGGCCAGTTCTTGGCAAAAGTTTGGTGTGGGTTTTGCCGGCGAGACTCCTTTTATAATTTGGGGGTTTACCTCGGTCTTTAGTGGCTGCTTGAGTGTATAGAATAGGACTCGGTTTGAGGACTTGGTCCCTGGAGGCGTAGCCTGATAATTGGCCTAATTGCATGTCTGGATATCGGGTAAAAGCTCGGGTCAGCCCCGGGTCATACCGGCTCCCATTGGTGTATAGTGACTTCCAAAAGACTTTGCCGCAGATTCAAAGCCGAAGAGATCCTACTCCTTCCCTCATTCACCCTCCTAACTTCTCTATTTTCCTTTTTATTTTGCAATATCACAATTTTATTCCTTTCCAACAAAGCAGAGAAAGAGGACTGTGGCATACGTTTGATTTTTAGCCGGGGCTGTTGGCGCGGGTTCTCTACGTTTTTGTGGGTGCTGGGTGTGATAGGGGTATGGTGATACTTGTAATGTATCTAATTGCAGTTGCGGTGCTTTGTGGATATCAGATAGGCGAACCGAATATCATAGAGCGGGAACTTTATCTAAACAGAGGCGA